CCGCCCCCGGGCCGCCCGCCGCCCCTGCAGGGACACAGCTGCGTGTCCGGCCTGGCAGCTGAGGTGCCACCCCCAGCCCTTGCTGCCCCCACAGGAGCGAGGGGTTTTTCCTCCTTTACCTCATTTTTGAGAATTTGCCCCCCAGGCCCCACTTTGGGTTTTGTTTCCCCTGCTCGGCCCCACCTCGCCGCAGCCCCGTCCGCTCCATCGGCGACTTGGACATGGAGCAGCGGGACACGAGTGAGGGGTCCCCCGGCTCTTACCTTGGTGGAAGAAGATCCCGGCCACCCAGAGCAGCGAGATGAAGATGGGGAAGTACTCGGAGCAGTTCACCCTAGCGAGAGGCAAAACCAGAGGCAAAACGTGCGTGGGCGCTGGGGAGCGTGGAGGGGTTTGCGAGGAGGACGGGGCTCGAAGTGACGCTGGAGCAAACGAGCGGCTCCGCGGTGAACACACGGCAGCGCCGTAGGCGAGGACAACCCAAACCCACCCTCTCTTACAGCAAAAGAAACCCCAAAGCAGCGTTGGCCTCGCCCAAGCGGTGCCCACGCTGCAGCCAGGAACAGCGAGCGGCAGAACGGGGTCCCCCGTGGCCCCCAAGGCTGCGATGCCCACACGGCCCCAGCACCCACCCCGCAGAGTTCCCTGAACGTATTTCGGGAACACTCTCTTCCCCTTTGCGGGGCACAAGCCGAGTTTTGGCAGGACACAGGCCACGTGCTCCAAGCAGGAGCGGCCCGGCGGGCCTCGTCTGGCGCCACAGCTGCGCTCACTTCTTTCCTGTTCTTTTATTGTTTTGAGTGACCAAAGCACTGATTTTCTGCCCGAAAGAGGATGGGTCCTCTCACTGCTCAAAACACAGTGATTTTGGCTTCCCAAATTCTCCTACGGCTCTGCAATTCCCTAGAGAATAATCTTAAACTTAGCTCCTGCAAAACAAAAAAAAGTCAAGAGGCCTCAGGGAGCCAGGGTGGATTGGGAGTTTAGGAAGGTTATTAACACTATGTTGGATGCTTTTGTACTTTGGACCCACCATTAATGTTACTTACTTAATGCACTGACACTAAGCACCTTTACTGAGGCTTCCATATGGGTACTGATTTGTCATTTGTATTAATTGTAATTGTAATTCGTCTGCCTCTGCCAGACCAGAGCAAGAATCCTCTTTGCTGGGCAAAAAGTAGCCACTGAGCAAAATGCTCAGCCTCAGAAACCAGCATCACCGTGAGCTGCTTGCACCGTGCTCCAAGCTGGTGCACTTCTACAGCTGCAGCCAAATAGAGCAAAAGGGAGGGGGGAAAAAGGCTAGAAAAGCCAACATCAGCAGCACTAAGAGTAAGAAGGTGGTTTCACACAGCCCTTCCCAGAAACAACAGCATTTCCCTCAAGTCATATCTAGATGTAGTCACAGAAATCACCAAGTCAAAACCTTACTGAGCTCTGAAGATTCGCTCGAATTCGGGGTGCCCTGTTGTATCCGGAGGAGAGATCTTGTACTTCCGCCTGGCATAGATCACCTGCAGTGCAAAATAGGCTGAAAAACAAACAAATGCACAGGTAAAAAGTAACAGTCCAGGGGCATCAGATCCAGATGAGCTTTATCAAGTCAGGAACCACGCGAGCGGCTAGAGGAGACAGCTGATACCATCTAGGTCCACAGCCCAGCTCCATGAAAAAGGTCACGCTTGAGCTGGAGTCAATGGGCTAAATGTGCTCATTGTGTCACACCTGTACCCTAGGTTCAGGTTTGGTTATGCAGGCAAGGGACGTGGTGGCAGCAGGGCCACTTTGCATCATGATCTCGCGCTGCCGCCAGCAACGAGCCCGGGGGCAGTTCAGAGCAGATGGGGCTGCCTGGTGCCCAGGGCCCTGCACTGACGCCCGCAGCACCGAGGAGAACACGAGCGAGCCCTCACCCGCCCCGGGATTACTGCTGTTTCAGTCTCGCCGAACCGAGGTCATCGGGATCCTCCCTGCAAGCAGGCACTGGGAAGGAAGCAGCACTTTGCAGGATGCCCCACAGGCATCAGCCAAACTGTGAAGCCCCTGGTATTATTAAGCCAATTAGAGATGCTGCTAATCACGGCATTACGTGGAAATTGGGAAGGGGGGAGGATTCCTTCTCCCTTCCATTGCCACGGGCAGCCCCAAGGCTCGAGGCCGCTGTGACAGCTGTGAGCCCGGGCCAGGCTTGGACCCTGCTCCAGCACCCGCCGCATGGCTCATACGCAAGGGACACGGGCATTTTATCACAATTAAAAATTGTTAACATGGAGATTGTGAGGCCATTTGATGAAAGTCCTCATTCCCCAGGTGGCCGCTGCTGTACACTCTTACTGGAAATCACAATTTTGGTAC